AGTTCGGTTGACGGATGTCAAAAGCAGTGTTTTGCAAACTATAATGGTAGGAATAAATAACTGGTTAATGCCCGCGGCAATTAACTGAAGGAGAGGTAGGAATTAACTGAAATGCGATAATACTGATGTCTCGGACTCTCGTCTTATCTGCGGGCCCGCAACGGTGGCTGACTTGCCATTTCACTTTTTTTATCTACTAACAATATCTCCTTCCAGCCTTTTATATCACCAAATGCAGCTTCAATAATACTTGCAAATCAGACCACCTTTTGTTAACATGGTTCGTTCATTCAAATAAGACAATGGTAGTACAACGCCTTGTAAACAATTATCATTATTACCTTTAATTCTGCGATTTAGCCAGGTTTGTTTTATTAAAAGATTTGTGGGGTCAGCTTGCATAATTAATTTATTTAGATTAAAGTAAACAAAATTCCCATTGCATCCATCTTTTTACTCATATCAGTGTCCACAAAGGCTCCCTCAACGATGTCTTTAACGCCAGCGACCCAAAAGCCTTCAAACCAAAATTGCTGCATTTCTGCCTGAACAAGTGGCGTCATCGAACGGAAATGTATGAGGTTCCAATCAGCTGGAAGTCCCTTACATCGAACGATGTCTTTATTTATGACGAGGGTACTAAAATGACCCAGTGGAATGGAAGCCGATGCGATGAGGAAGAGAGACAGGCGGTAGGCATTGACACAGATTTTACAAGGATATGTTAATTTATTACATAAATCTAAGAACGATGGGTGATTCGTTTATAGTGAACTTCTTATGTCGCAATTCAAGATATCGAAATTAGGCTTAAGTGGAGGTTTTTTGAGAAAAAGGTGCATCGCACACAAGTTGCCCGTTTTACTGAGACCTGTTCTATCCTATACATTTATGCATACAGTACGGCAGAAGATGCATGTCCAATGCCAAAGTTAATGAAGTATTGATAATAACTCAACAACCGGCATTAAACCATGCACGAAAGCTTTGAAATACTAATGAACAAACTTTGGCTACTTTGTTGCTTAAAATAAATATCAAATTACCAACTGTTACACAAGAAAAAGAAAATTTTTCTAATAATACTCAAGTTGAGTGGAAAGCCATATTAATTTCTTTATATAAATGGAACTTTTCGGAGTCAAAATAATATACACATTTCCGTTATTACACTACAAATAGTATAAACTGTTCCATCACATTTTCGACCACTTTTTGTGTTTCAAAGTTTTTTCCCATAAATTTAGATTCTGATTGATGTTCATATCAGAATTCTTAAAATAAGATAACCATTAAGATCATTTACTAAAAACACAAGATTTTCGATATGAATTCTTGCGACAATGGCAAAGGTGGCCATATTTATTAACTGCGTCAAAGTATGAGAAGTAACGAATAATTTGGAAAAGCATTACCGAAGTTGCTATAAAATGATTATAACGGACATGACATCTCCTGAACTAGAAAGCTGTTAAGTACCTATTTCGCAAGATAATAGAGCCCCTAGTGGTATATTTTATATGAAAGTGATTCTATCTGAATTAGACGATGCTAACTCTAGATACGGGATCCTTTGATCCTTTCCGTTCTCGCACGTAAAACTTCTAGGGGCTCCCAATGGTTCTTCATGTTTATTCAAAGGAGAAATACCAAATAGGTTTGCTATATTAATAATTCCTTTGGGTGAGTAAGTTAGGAGTTGAACTGAGTCCAGCGGCTGCATGCAGCCCAGGGAGCATTGTTCAAACGCATGTGGAAACTGCTCTCTGGTATTCTTGTTGGATGTATGGTGACATCTCGACCACTGTCAGTTAAAAAGACTTCGGTAGATCCTGATTAGAATAAACATTGAGGTTTATACTCAATCTTAATTGCTGTACGATATGGATTGCTATGCACTGACCCTGTATTCCAATTTTCAAGTAAACGATGCATTCCGTATTGTCACTAAATTAATTGATTTTCTTCTTAAGCGGGTCCAGCGCCACGTGTCCGTATAATACCCCTACCTGTATACAAACTCAAGTCCTTCGTATTTTCTATTTTTTTAGGCAAGGCAATACATCACTTCTGCACTAAAGAGGCGCAATTGCAGGGCCTTTTCTGAGTTCTACGATGAAGAAGAACTGTTCGAGAAGGTGAATAAGCGATCACATTGATGGACAGTCTCAAAATG